GGTGGGTCCGCACCACCATCCTGCTTACTCTTCCAACCAGATTCATGAGATGCCCATAGTTCTGCCCACATGTTGAAAACCAACCAACCACAGAAGCCTGGCTACGTCCCTAAGCACAGGGAGCTATAAAAGGACCTAAGAAATGGATCCATATAAAGAGACATTAACATAGCATTCTAGGTCCCTGCCCCAAGTCTGCCCCCTGATGTGCACCAGCCATATGCCTGTCTGGGAATCTCTTTATGTTCCTGTTCTTGGATGGTACAAACGGGCAACACACTGGGGATGCTAACCAGAAGGATGGGGGTTGGAGTCTCCCAGAGATCCCTTGTGAGAAAATTAAAATAAAATAAAAACATTTGAAACCTACGGAACACAGTTCTAGTGTCACACACGTGAGGTCACCCCATGATCTGGGATCCATTCAGGCGACTGGTCTGAGTTTCTGGTTTTCTATGTAGCAGAGTGGACTTGACTAGAACTACCCAGTCCACCGCCCTTCAGCACTCAAAGATGCCCTGTGAGCCCAGGAGACGTGGACCCCGGGTGACCGCAGCTGGTCTCTTTTAGCCATAGGCCCTGTGGTTTCATGCATTTATTCATTGTTCAAAACTGTTCAGAACAATCACACAGGTGATGTTTGATCCCTTCTAAGACCCTTTCCTGCTCCATCCACTCATGTGAGCAGGTCAGCCCCAGCCTCTGCTGTGGGGCCGTATGGGGCACCAGGAGAAAGGGACCCGTTTTAGGGCTGGGCCTGCAGGGGGTGAAGGGATGGGCATGAGGCAATGTTAGACCTCAGGACCCTCCCTCCACACTCCTGAACAAGTGCCAAGTCCCAGGGGCCCAGCTGTGTCCACTACTGCTGATGACCTCGCACTCACACTGGTGCATGGGGAAGGATGGTGTAAACTATCCTGAGGGGCTGCAGACCTGGCAGACCCTTGCTCCAGACCCCTTTCCTGCCCCCCCACCCCCCGATTCTCTGTGTGACCACAAGAAAGCCCCCTGTCTTCCCTGGGTCTCAGTGTTTCCATCTGCATCAATGTGCCCAGGCCCTGCCCAGACCCAACGACCAGTTGGAGATGAGAGCAGAGACCAGCCTATTGTCTGCACAGCGAGGAGGTGTGGGCAACAGTGCTGGGCTCAGGCTCACTCTGAGAGGCTGGTGAAGTTCATTTAAGACGCAGAACCAATGACTCTTTGGCTGGTGTCCATTAGAGACCGAGGACAATTGGTCAGGAAGCCTTGTGTTGCCCTTGTGATTCCATTTCTGGGAGTCTCGTTGATCCCTCAATGATGCACACCTCTTTACATCCCACCTCCCTCAAGCCCAGCTCCATGGTACTCCCATACTTACATCTTTTCCTGGGGAGCCTTCCCGGCCAGGGGGGCCCAGGGCTCCAGGCTCTCCCTAGAAGAGGGAGAGAGAAGCAAAGAGCCAACTATTAGGGAGGGAGATGCTGGGTACGTGCTCACACAGGTGCAGGGGTTCCTGAGGGCCTGGGAGGGCACAGATCCAGAAGGGCTGTCTACAAAGAGTGTGGAGGACAGGTCAGCCTCCCACTGGTGGGCAGTGTCCTGGCCCTGTTGGAGCTGTGTGTACCTGAAGTATGGGCAACACTCTTATCTAAGCCACTTGGGAAAGACCACCATCTAAGGACGGGACTCCTCTTCACCCGACCTTTGTGATCCTCCCTAATTTTCTGCTTTCTTATCAGAGCATGGCCAAGAGCTAACAGACCAAGCTGGCCCTTCTGCTTGGGACATTTGGAAGAGACAGAAACAGTTTAAAGATGAGAAGTCAATCTCAGGATACTAGAACAGCGCAGCATGCCCAGTACAAGCTCTGAGACCACGGGAAACCCATCGATTCCGATTCCCCCACCCACCCACCCAGCCTGTTTGTTGTTGTGGAACTAAACTAAGCTGGTCAACAGCTCTTGACTCCCAGGACTTGACGTCGCCCTGTCTCACACAACTGGTGAAGACCACACCTGACCCCACACCGATTTGGCCACATTGATTTTTTTTTTTATCAACGCAGAGTGGTCAGAAGAGCATTCTAGAAGAACCAGGCCAAGAGAGCACCTAGTGCTCCATCACGCCCACTGTGCCCACTGTGCCAGGGCATGCTCCTCAGTAAGGAGGTGCTGCACTAGGTGCAGAATCCAGGTTCTTGCCAGATCAGTGTCACCTGGGATGACCTTCAGGGCAAGGTGTCCACCTACCCGGGGACCGGGTACACCAGGATCGCCTGTGGGTCCCTTGAAGCCCTGGAAGAAGGAGGAAGGAGTTAGTTCACCAAAGAGCATGTCAGATAGCACTGAGGATGGGCACCGGGGATAATGGACCCACTGAGTCAGTCCCTTGCTTCCAGGGTCTCTTCTGCAGTCTCCTCTTGAGCCATCAAGTGTGAGGGACAGAAGGATTTCTCTTAAGTTTTCTCCCCCAAATATATGCCAGATTTAGCTTAAGAATGACTGTTCACTAGGCGTTCAGTGAAAGTAGGTCAGAGGTTATTCTCCCTAACATCAGCCATCTATAGTGGCTAGACTATTAGTCTGACTCACCCTAAATAAGACCCACTCCCTTCTGATAAGGATAGTGGTGGTCTGTTTACTTGCAGGAGATACCAGAGAGGGCAAACCCGCCCAAGGATGACCAAGGTTAGGTAGCTATTATCAGCTGTCTAGATCAAGCAGACACCACTGTTTATCCCACAACAAATACGGGCACAGCCCTAGGTCATCCCCCTCTTATTGATTGTATTGCTTATGTTGCTACCCCTCCCTGCGACTTAGGTTGTTGTCTGCTATCAGGTGAATTGCATGCCTCCCAGAATAGTAATTGTCTGTTTTATTGTATGAGACACCAGAATGATCAAACTTGTTCAAGAATGAAATGTATTGCCCCTTTCTGTGATGTATGACTCTGTAATCAGATCCCCCTAAAGTGATATGATGTGTGGTTAGCAATAAATAATGAGGCTCCCTGGTTCTCGGGAGGGTGGCTGGCCGTGGGTGGCTGGAGAAGGTGGCTAAGGAGGATGAGGCAGCGGCTTCTTCTCTGACCGCTAAGCCCCCTCCACGAGGACCATCAAGCGGGGCTGAGGTGAGCGATGCTACCATGAATTGTGTCTGACTCCATTACTTGACTCCATCCTTTAACTCTCATGCTCTCTATGACTTTACTATAATCTCTACTTATTATCGCTGTACAATTGCGCCTACCGAACCTGTGGTTTTTGTGGGGGTCCCTCCTCCCTTTAACCCCACAATCAAGGTGTAATGTATGAAAGTATCTACTTTGTGACAAGCTCGAGGTCAAGGAGGTGGTGACCAATCAACACAGTCTTCCTCCCATTTCACTCTGCCTGCAAAGCTGGACCCAAAGGTGGCAGCGTGCTGGGGCCACACCCTGCAGTGCGTGAGCGCCAGCTCTTCCTACCCTACTGGCCTCACACCATGGGGCTGGGACCCCCTGCCTAGCTCCTGCGGGGCACACACTGTGGTCAGGTGAGTCTTTGGGACAACAGTCTTCCCCTTGAGTGAGGCCTTTGGACAACCCCCTTGTTCCTGTCACCATGACTAGCCCCACCCAGCACCCCAAGTTCACACCAGTCCTGGAATCCTCACCCAGGGTCAGAGTGCTGGCCTTGCCCCACCCCATCTCAGGGATTTGTTCCCTGAGATGCCCAGGTAGAGCACCCAGCCTTCCAGCACCCCCAAACCAGCCAGGCCTGAGCCAGGGACCCTGTGTGTTCTCCTGTCGTGGAAGCATGGTGAAAGTGCAGACAGAAGGAGCACACACATGCACCACGCACCCAGCTGGGGTTTTATGTGGCTGAGTGTCCCTTTTAATCTTCCTGACCTCTAGACATAACTGGGAGCTATCAATCCTTGTTTCACAGAAGAGGAAAGCAGGGGGCCTTAAGGTACCCCATCAAGAGGCGGCAATGCGAGTGTCCAAGAAAACGAAAGCTGAACCCCTGTTTGGCTAACTCAAACCCCAAGCTATTCTTCAAAGCTTTTCCCAGCCCCACTTTTGGCTTGCTCGGTCCCTAGCCTCAGCCTGTACATAGAGCAGGTCTCCTTAGAACTCCCTGAGGAGCGGTGGGTCTCGAGGTGGCTCCAGCATGAACAGGTTGCTTTCTCTGAAAGGCATCCTCCTCCCACCCATCCGCTAGGAACCACCTTCACAGGACTGACCACCAGCTCCCGTGTTCAGAGCCCCCAGCAGGAATCATGCTGCCCATTTTCAGGTTTCCTCTGGTGAAAAGCAAGATGGGGGTGGGGGGCGGGGCAAAAGGGACATTGATTTTTGCATTTTATCTCCTCCATACTGAACATTTGCCACGTGATGTATTGATTTTCTTTTTGTCAAAAGAAAAACAGAATGAAGGAAAAAGAACTTTCTTTTGGAAGATATTGTTTCTACTCAGATAATTGGATTGGGGGAATTTTCATCAAAATGGTACATTTTCCCCTTAAAAAAAACAAAAGCAATTTGTGGGTATTGCGTAATCGATGTTGAAGTTACAGAGGAGTAAGGCCCTTAGCAAAAGGAAAAGACATCATTGGCGAGTTCTCATCTGCGTGAGACGGGGATAAGGAGTGTGCACGTGTCTGTGTGCAGTAGCTCCAGAGCCGATGAGGACAAGGATGCGGAGTTCAGACTCAGAGGAGAGGATGGGGGAAGGACTCTAGGAGGCTGACAGGGGTTCCCCCTGGGTTATGTAACTGTGCACAACTTGGCTTTCTTCCCAGACCACTCTTCTTCTGGCTCTTGTCCTTAAGGGGCTCGCCACCACTATCATCGTGACTGTCAGCGGGATAGAGGACTTCTAGCCATGGAGGGAGGCAAATTCCAGCTCTAGACAACGTTCCACACTCAAATGAAAACACTCCTGTGTGGTTCCATTGTCCAGACCGAGCCCAGTAGAAATACAATAAATAAGATCAAATCAAAACCCATTGAGAACAACAGGCAATAATGGCCGCAATCTGAAAACACGTTTTACTACCAGTTTAGCAAGGTGGTGTAGTGGTTACGAGTTGGGTTGTGATCAGCATGGTCGGCAGTTCAAAACCATCAGCAACTCGCTGGTGGGAGCAAGACTGGGCTTTCTACTCCTGTAGACAGTCACGGTCTCAGAAACCCACGGGGGTGGGGGGCAGGCACCCTGAGTCAGCATTGATTTGATGGCAGCAAGATTTTTATGGAAAGTAACTTGGCTTGTTCCTCAGGACACCACTGTCCTGGGTAGGAGAGAGATTCTGGAAGCCCACCTGTCATTGTAGATGAACATGGCCCATCAGGGCATGAGCCATGTGGCTGCCAAGTCACATGCCACCCCCCACCCCCCACACACATACACGCACACTCTCATGCACACGCATGCACTCACGTACTCGCATGCACTCACACACAGGTTCAGGGCTTACAGGCGGGCCTCGTGCCCCCTCTGCTCCTTGCAGACCCGGCTCTCCAGCTTTGCCCTGAGAGTAAAGAACAAAGAGATAGGGAAAGTTTTAGGATTTGGGGTTCCATATCACGACATCTACATAAGTCTGTCTTTGCCCACCCTTGCTAGCCCCGGCCTCTGGCAATCTGGTCCAGGTTTGCCCGCACAAATAACCACTGTGTATTTGAGATCCGAGTGGCAGTGGGGTTCATGTTACTGGGATCCACAATCAGCAGTCATAAAAACTGAAACTAAGAAACCAAGTGAGGGCAGGGCCAGGCGGTCTCAGGAGTCCCGGGCAACGACGAGAGGAGGGAGGGAGCATGAGGCTGGGTTGTGATTGGACAGCCCATCTAGAGGCCACTGAACCACAGGAGGGGGGATGTTCTAAAAATTGATGTGGGGGTGAGTGTACAATTCTTGATATGATTGAATTATTGAATTATAGGATAAAATCTTAGGGGAAAAAAAAGAAACAAAACAAGTGATGTATTGCACGGGGCCAATCTGCTGCCCAAGACCTCTTAGAAGATTAAACGGCAAAGATGCCACTTTGAGAATGAAGGGACATCTGCCCCAAACCATGGCATTTCGAACCACCCCCTCTACATGCCGAAGCTGGACACTAAGCAGGAAAGACTGGACAAGACTTGATGGATTTGAGTGGCGGTGCTGATGAAGACCATTGCACGCATGCCCAGTGGACTGCAAGATGAGCAAGCCACAGATGATGTCTCCCCCTGGCCTGTGTTTCCTGGTATGGCACAAGACTGATGCCCACACGCCATAAGGTCCTCATGGGGGCCACCCTGGGGCAAGTAAGGAAGCATGTTGTGTGCACTGAGTAGCTGTGGCCCAGGGCAGGGAGATCTATCTTCCCTCCCACTCTCTGCATTCCCACCAGGCCAGGTGCCACTCGCCCACAGCCTGCAGCGTGGCTCAGCAGGAGCCTGCACCACATAGGGCTGCTGGGGGCTCTCTTCTCTTCCTCCTCTCCGTAGGGAATTCAGGTCTTCGCATCAGGCAACCAGAGTAAGGTGATGGAGACAGGGGGCCTCCAGTGACTTGCATAAGATGCAGCATGAGTCACAAGCATTTACGACCAAACATATTAAATGGAACGTAAATCTCACTGCAGAAACGTTTTATCCAATCTCACACTCCGTGGTTCTAAAGGCTCCGTGGTTCTGACCTCGCTGGGAGTTATAGCCGGGGACTCTGGGCAAACACAGTCACCATAGGCCATCAGTGGAGGAGCGGGAGGCATGGAGCCATGTGTGACCTCACAGATCTCCCAGCAAGGCTGGAAAATTGGCCTCACTCTTCTCATCCTATGTGAATGGAGCCCTGGCGAGGGTGTGGGGGTGGTTAGCAGTTACACAGTGGGTTGTGGTGATCCACAAGGTCCAAAGTTTGAAACCACCAGCCACTTCATGGGAGAAAGATTGGGCTTTCTACTCCCGTATACAGTCTCAGAAACCCAAAGGGGGCAGTTCTACCCTGTTCTATCGGGTCCCTATGAGTCGGCTAACCTCAAGGTCACAGGATGCTCTGAGGTCACAGGTGCTTCATCCTGAGCACCAGGTTCTCAGTGCATGTGCTCATGCGTTTGCTCATTTGATAATGAAAAGGTGAAAGGTCTGTGTCACAGCGAGGGAGCCCTGTGACGAAATGGCTTCTTTGGTGGGCTGCTTGCTGAAAGGTTCACCATGAGAGCCCACCCGCCACTCCGTGGAAACCGAGGGGGCGATCTGCTCCCAGGCAGAGGGCAGGGGCTCAGAGAGCCCACTCTGTGCAGTTCTGCTTGGTCCTCTGGTCTCTAAGAGTCAGACTCGATTGGACCGTATTGCGTTGTTTAATGTCAGAATGGAAAAGCAGAACGTCACCACGCCTGCAGCTGTCTGTGAAGTGCAGGTTCTCGGTGAAGGTGATGGTCTCAGGCAGGTGGAAAGTGGTGGGTCAGGGGTCGAGCTTTGGCCTTCAGCATGCAGGACCCGGTTACACTCTCAGCCAACGCATCTTATGCACAGCTAATGCCCGCAGCCCACGGAAGCCAGCTTGGGGCCGGGAGGCTGACCGGGTTTCAGCAGAGCTGAGATGGACTAAGAAGAAAGGCCTGGTGCTCTACTTCTGACATCAGCACGTGGAACCCCTGTGGGCCACAACAGGCCATGGCCACTCATCCTGGGGATGGCAAGTCCCCTCCCTCTATGTGTGGGGATGCCAGGGGTCACACTGGGTCAGCAGCAGTGAGTCCTTCCAGACAGCAGCTGGCCCCTCCAGGCTGTGCCCATCTGCCTCGTCTCCCCTCCCAGAGTCAATGTGGAGGGAGTTGCAAGAGACCTGGGCTCCGGTGCCAACTCGGCCACCAGCCCAGCAGGTGACTTTAGGTTCCTCACATCACCGAGACTCAGTTTCCCTCAGCTATATCATGGGGACAGTAATCCTTACCTTATTGGGTCACTGGGAGAAATGGATAAAAGAGACTTTCATTGGGTTTAGCTCACAATACTGCTCAACACATTACTGAGCAATGCTGGGTTTGGATAGGGACAATGATAAAGCAGGAGAACGGTCGCTTACTGGGTCTCCAGGGGGCCCTGGCTTTCCATCTCTGCCCTCTTTGCCATCTTCTCCCTGTAAAAGAAACTCAAGTGGGTGACCAGGTCGACGATGATGTGCTAGAACAGTGGTTCTTAACCTTCCTAATGCCGCCACCCTTTAATACAGTTCCCCCAACCATAAAATTATTTTCATTGCTACTTCATTAATGTCATTTTGCTACTGTTATAAATCATAATGTAAATATCTGATATGTAGATATATTTTCATTGTTACAAATTGCACATAATTAAAGCATAGTGATTAATCACCAAAAACAATATGTAATTATATACTGTGAAATATTTACTTCTAATTACAAATAAATGAAATTTTGTCTTGAAGCATGGTGTAGCACGGGTAACAGTCTTCACACCGGGTGCTCCTATGTGGGCATATCTGCATGTGGGCAGACCCGCCTGGAGGCAGATAGAGGAGTGGTGTCTTGGTTCCTAAGATCATCGGAAATATGTGTTTTCCGATGGCCTTAGGTGACCCCTGTGAAGGGTCGTTCGACCCCCAAAGGGGTTGCGACCCACAGGTTGAGAACCGCTGTGTTAGAGGGAAACACGCTGCAGATTCAACGCGTCTTTCCCCCTGGACTACAGAGGCCGGTTCGGCTAACTGCTAGGAAGGCCTTTCTGCAGACAGGAGATCTGGTGTCCAGCCTCCGTGCCCTGGTTTGGTCCAACACCAAGACTGTAGCCAGGGCTCTATGGTCATCCGTGCCCGGCGAATCCTGGGAATATGACAAGTGGTGTCAGCAGCTTGATTGAAGGGACTGAAGAAGCCCTGATGGGTGTTCTCAGAGGACGGTGGAACTCAGCTCGGTGGGAACTCATGGGTGGGCCCGCTGGGCAGAGCCAGGTGATGAGAAGGGGGCAGGTGGGTTCTGATGAAGACGAGCACACCAGGTGACGGGAAGCAAGGCACCTGACTCAGGTCCGCTAGTGTGCGTGGGGGTGACAGCAAGGACCGGATCCGAGTGATGGGCGGCCATGAGCATTCTGCATCTCCTGCTGTGAAGTCATGCTGTGGCCCCGCCTCCCTGCTCCCCAGCCCCTGCTCATGGGCCTGTGGTTCAGATCCTCATGTTTAGCTAAGTGGTCTCAGGGTCTTCTCTGAAACAGGGACAATCAGGGATGGTCAAGACATCCTGGATCAACCTGTGTGGATCCTGGGAAGGAAAGAACAAGGCCATGTGGCACAGGAGTCCAGGCAGTGAGGTTGGAGGCCTGCCTGCGACGAGCCAGCCCTGTGTTCTGGGCAGTTCCTGAAGCGCCTGGGTCCTCAGCGCTTCACCTTCTACACAGGGATCACAACCTGCCTTGCAGAAGCGCCAGCTGGCTCCGTCGGTGCTTTTGCTTGCAATGGTGCACAAAATAGCCCGGATAAATAGTGCCAGGGCCATGGTGGCTGCAGCTACTGATGAAAGGATGTGCTGTGCTCATCAGCACCTTTGCCCTCACTGGTGGACGCTGCTGTGGATGGAGACCTGAATGTATTGGCCAGCCAGGGAGCTGTCCCCAAGCTCCTTGTGCTCCTGTCACTCTCTGTAAGGCCACTCCAGGGGTCCCTGCATGAACCTGCACTAAACAGGCTGGGCTGCCTGCGAGGTCGGCTGGATCAGTCCTCTCTTCCATTAAGGCTTGACCTCCAGCGGCCATGTCCCCGGTGCAAGGGAAGCCCAGTACCATGATATGGAATGCCCAGAAGGGAAGCCATCAAAGTCAGGCTGGGGTGGGCAGGGGTCAGGGTGGGGGAGGGAGCTCAGGTGGCAGTGTCCGGGTCACCCGGAAGGGTAAGGGCTCCGTGGAGACACTTAGGACCAACCAAATAGCTGAAGACCTAGCTCGGGCATTCAGAGAGAGAAAGGCTGCCCTGCAGCTAACTGCGGATCTGTTCATGCTTAACTTCCTGGGGCCTAGCCTTCGAGTAAGGGGGATGCTCCCAAGAACATTGCAGGGGAGGGCTTCGCAATGGGGCCCTTTCATGCTTGGTTCACCCCAGCAGTTCACCACATTGTCGTGGTGGTTAGAAAATGGACAGATGTGTGAAACAAGGCTGACTGATCAGCTAGACACCAGTAGGACCCCCAGGACCACGGCCCTTCATCACCCTTCAGCTCTGGAGCTGAAGTCACCCCCGTGTTAGAATCATCAACCACTGGAGAGGGACAAAATGCCCAGGGTCAGGAAGGGAGGAGTGATGGAGATAGAAAGCCCAGTGGGCGAGGTGCGGGGCAGGGCGGGATTGCAAGGGGTGAGTTGAATCAGCCTGTGCGTGAACCGCTGAATGGGAATCAGATGGTTTGCTCTGTAAACCGTCACCAAATTCACAGTAAAAAGTTTCAAATATAAGTAAATTTCCCGTGGCGTAACGTCCAACCAGGTGACGTCCACACACACACACACACACACACACACACACACACCACACACACACACACACACACACACACACACACACACACACACACACACCTGTGGTCCCAGAAAGCCTTTTTGCCTTTTCTTAAGAGCAAGTAGCTCTCTTTTGTTTATTGTCTGCACCCGTGCCTTCTCAGTGTTTCCAAAGACCCCAAACCAGATTCCCGCACCACTAGACCCTGGGGTGGGCAGTGGGGGTGGAGCTACAAGGAGGCAGTGGACACAGCTCTGGGGGTGTGGGGTGTTGTTCTTGGACTTTGTCTAGCTGGCAACTGGACAGCAGGGGCAGCAGGGTCTAGAGCTGCTCCTAGGGACAGAACAGTGGACACAGCTGGGTGCACTCTGCGCCCTCCTCACTTGGCCCCCTTGTGCCACCCTCTGGAGCACCACTGTGGCCACCCATTCCTCCGGTCTCCAGCAGCAGTGGCAGTTGAGATGAAAACGACTTGGGGTGAGCCCCAGGAAGGTTTAAAGAGGGTGCTCACACAACCTCTGAATCGCACAGCACCCACATTATTAAGAGCGAAGCCTCACAGGTCTGGGGTAATTGATGTAAAATAATGAGAGGCCCTTATGGGCACAGAGGCTGCACACAATATACTTCCCCTGTATCCTGTGTCACACAGAGAGCCTCTCCAGCCTGTCCCTGGAACTCAGTAAATGGGAGACCAACTGTTTTACTTCATGAGAAGGAATGGCAAATTCAATGAATATTGGCATCTCATCACTGGGACTTTCATCAGTCACTACATGAAGCAGGAAAGAAGGAATTCCTATCTTATAGCCAGTTGGCATAAGTATACAGATCTGCATAAACAGCACCCCTCTGGCCCCCTACACACACACACTTCAAATCTAGGTTCTTCACTGGTCTGCCTGGGTGCTGAGCTTGTCTCCAGCCATCACATTTCACGTGCATTATGCTACAGGTCATTGTGCCTTGCGGTTGTGTTTGGTTTCTCCTTGACGGCTGGGACCACGGATGGCTCCATCTGTCCCTTGAGCTCTGTGATAGTTAAGGTTCTGCGTCAACCTGGCTGGGCCAGGATTCTGAGTGGTTTGGCAGTTCAGACGCAGTAATTCCCCTTGATGTAGCCTAGCATAATGCAATCGCGTCCCAAACGGGATATGCCATGAGCTGCTACTCAGGGATAAGAAGATCAAGGTGTGGCACAACGCTATTACTCAGGTCCTAGCTCTGAAGTGGTGTCTCCTTGGGGGTGTGGCCTGCTTCCAATGTAAGTGGATACTGTGGGAAAGGTTGCTTGCTTGTTGCTGGGTCTGGATTCTGCATCTGACTCACGGACCTCTGGTTTTTGGACTTAAGCCAACGACTTGCCACCCTGCCTGCTGATCCTGGGGGTTGCCAGTCATCTGCCAACTGGCTGGTAAACCTTGGATTCATTCACCTCTGCAGCCACCACCCTGTCCTCCTCCTGCTGATCTTTAGTTCATCAGCCCCTTGCAGCTACGCAAGTCAGGAGGCATTCATTCTATCATCTGACCTCAGACAGGAAACCTGCTTAGACGTGTCTGCTACTACACCACACGAACCACTTTGTTGATATAAATTTACACACACACACACACACACACACGGTTTTATTCGTTAGAGAACACAGCCTGAGACAACCACTGGCCCAGGTCAGGGGCATGTTGCCCCTCCAGTCACTGTTCATTCATTTGCCATTCCCTCAACTCAGACCTGCACAGCAGCTTATTCGGCCCTGTGCTGATAAAAATCCACATAAATGAGTACACAAAGACAATAGGACGCATGGAACAGGCGTGTGACTCAGCGCTGGTTTGCTAGGAAATGAGGTGCTTGCTTTTCTTCCGGTGCTCTGAAAGACGCGACAGCCCCTAATGACCGTGATTTGCTTCAATAGCAAGAAACAGATACTTGCCTTTTTGTTTTTGTTTCTGCTTTTTGGTGTGTAATTCAGAAAACAAATTTTGTTCTGCAGCCACTTACTGGGATTCCTGGTAATCCTGATGGGCCCTGGGGTCCTGGAGGGCCCTCTTTCCCCTAAAGATTCAAGATGGAAACACACCATGAAGTCTTTCCGAAGCACTTTGTGTGTGTGTTAGTATTTTTGGTGAAAACATACACCAGTTGTGCACCATTCTGACCAATGTCTCCCCGTATAGCTCATCGACATGGACTCTTCTTTCAAGGGGCAAACATTCTCACCACCCTTCACCAGATGGCCCCGTTGCCTCTAACTTGGACTCAACACCTGCCAAGATTCTCATCTGGCCTTTCAAGTTGCCCTGTCAATTTGACCTTGTTCGGACCATTCTTTAAAAGAGCATGATGCTCAGAGTAGACTTACCCCATTTATTCAGATAAACTAGTCTTTGGTTCATAGGAGACTTCAGGGGGTTATTCTGATCTCACTTTTCACATCTAAAGATGATTTGTGAAGGATCTTTCTGGAAGGACATGGCTTAGTGCAACATTGACCTTGCTGACTGTGGAGAATGAGACCGCTGTTATAAAGAAGGTTTCCTCCAAGCAGCCCGTCTCATCCCAGGCTTTGCTTCCTCCAGGACAGGGTGTGTTTACCCTGGTTCGTTGACAGGCCCTATTCCATAGACTCGGGGGGGAGTGGGGAGTAGCAAGCCTTGTGGAAGAAGAGATTGGAGCTTTGGAATCCAAAACGCGTGGCTTAGACCCAACTCTGCACTTCGTCTCTGAGACTTCCTGAGACTCACCTCACCACCCACAGCACAGACAAGCACACCTGGAGGTGTTGTGTGTACCAGAGCCAAGACAGGTGAAGGGCTGGCCAGAGTACACGCGTGATGGATAGTTTCACTGTTACCATCTTGTCCTGAGGTTCTCAAACTTCTTTGTGTCTGATTTCCCGTGAGAACTAGACCCCATATTCTGTAAGACTGTGCTTAGCAAGCCACATCACTTAAGACTTCATTTTCCAATTTGTTCCTCAGACACACTCTCCACTGTCACCCAAAGCTGCTGAGCCAGCATGAGGTCAGCAGTGTCATCATGGCTATTGCAAAAAAAACCAAAAAAAGGTGAAGACCCTCAATGAAATGGATTGACGAGGTGGCTGCAACCAAGAGCAGTAGTTGTGAGCAGACAGAGCACTGTGTGTCCTGTTGTGGCCACAGGGTCGCTCTGAATCAGAATTGGCATGAAAGCAGCTCATAACAACGGGGACTTGATTGAGAATTCTCACAAGATCATGGTCTTTAATGACTGCGGCCAGGTTCCCCCTCCTAATCTCTGTACCCCACGAAGTATTGTCGACGGATATGTGGCTGCATAGAAGGACATTTTATTTTTAAAAAAATCAAAATTGGATCTTTATTTCAGATGGGTACATGCTCTGTTCTATAAAAAGGATTCCATTAGGAAGCTAAAAGACAAGTAATTGCTTAAGCCACTTCCACTGACCAGTCCCCATGATAAACCTGCACCTTCCTCCTCTCCAAATGTTTTCCTAGTCACACTGCAGCACACCTTCATCTCTCTCTCTCCCACCAGGTGAGTGGCGGATTCGCCGGGAGTCAGTGTGTTTGTTCTTATGCTTATAGGTACCTGTTGTTATTTGCTGTGGGCACTGCACTGTTTAATTATCTATTAAAACCCAAACCAACCGTGCTGGCCGTGTATCACCTCCAGCTCACAGCACCCCTGTGGCTCAGAGCAGGACGGCTGTACAGTGACCTGACAGGACTGAGTAGAATTGCCCCTTACAGTTTCCAAAACTGTGTTATTTTCAGGAGCAGCAGGTGGGAGTGAACCGCTGACTGAATAGTTGGCAGCTGGGTGCTTAACCACTGTGCCACCAGGGTTCCCCCATGATACATTAGATGCCCAATAAAACTTAACTGGAAAACAATAAAGGAGTGATCATTTTAGGGCAGATTAAAGTAGCTCTCTGAAAAGATGGGGTGACGACAAGCCACTCACTGTGGAACTCAACTGCTCTGTTTGAGAAGGAAAATCCTAGCAACCTAACACTGTACATCTAGAAAGTTTCACAAAGGTCTTTCTCTGCTCAAACCCCTTCATTTGCAAGCAACACAGAGATACACGGATGCTCTTCTCCCAGGACTGGGGCCCAAAGTCCAACTGACACCTCTACCTTCCTGTTTGACCTTAAGCTCCCATGAAAAAGGTTGGCATGCATCTTTTCTTGACCACTATTATTCACCGCTTAATTTCAAAGAAATGTCTCCTTTCTGGTTGTTGTTTGTTTAAGCTCCTTGTCCTCCCTTGCTGCCATCAATCACAGGGACCCTATAGGAGAGGGTAGACCTGCCCTCTGGGAGTTTCTGCAAGAGTAACTGTTTTTTTGTAAATCATTCTGTTGGGGGCTCTGACAGCTCTTAGAACCATCCACACATCCATTGGGTCAAGCACATTGGTACATATGTTGCCCTCATCCTTTTCTAAACATTTCTTTCTGTTTGAGCCCTTGGTGTCAGCTCCATGGGAGTAGAAAGCCTGCTCTTTCTCCCGTGGGACGGCTGGTGGTTTTAAACTGCTGGCCCTGTGGTTAGCAGGCCAACACTTAATCCGCTACACTACCAGGGCTCTCGAAGACATTCGTTCTCTTCGGGTTTGGTGTTGATGGTCAAGTATCAGGATCATGGATAGGTTCAAACACTCGCCTGGCTCACCATCAAGTCCCATGGCAGAATGACTGTCTTATTTAATAGGAGTAAACTCCTGGAGGTATGACGGTTTTGCCTCCGGTCCCCACATTCATCCTCCTCGGGCAAACAGCCCATTGGTTTTTATCGGGGAAATCTTTTGTTTTCTGAAAAATCAATGAAAAGCTGCCAGCAGTACACATTATATTCTATTCATCCGGATTTCTAAACCGACTGCTTTCAAAGAACTGGCCAGATGATGGTTATGGAAAGAGCCATGTGGCTGCAATGGTTCATTCTCAACCTCCTTCCTTCCCTCGACGCCAACCATCCTACACAGTGGGTCAGGATGGACTAGCAGGGAGAGCCTGGGTTTCTATACTGCCTCGTCTGCCAATGTGGATGTCATTTCCTGTACTACCTAGTATGTGCTCCCCTTGGCCGCTGGCTGCCTTTCTGAAGAAGAGCAAGAGACACCACGTGACCTCTCAAATGTCCTGGACTCCAGAGTCTGAGGAGGAGAGGACGGGGTGGACATTCATGCTGGCTGGACAGGGTACTCTAGGCTGGGATTCCTATAGACCAGGCTTTATGCCTGGACCTGGCATGTCCTTACTATGTGACCCTGGGGTCACCATTGTGTATTTTTGGCCCCCACGTTTCTTATGTATAAAGTGGGGATGAAACCTAGATTGATTCTGTAGATAAATTCCTCTACTTATATGACTTTGCCTTCGGGGTGCAGTAGCAAAAGCACTACTCTGTTGATTGAAAGGTCTCTGTCTCAAACCCAGCAGCCTCCACATGAAAAAGACCAGGTGTTCCGCTTCCATAGAAATGATAGGAGCCTGTAGGAAACCCTGTGGGGCAGCTCTGCTCTGCCCGATAGCAACTGACCTGATGGTGGTAGATATAGCCCCGTGGGTGTCATGCATGTTTTGGGTATTAGCAGTGTGCCTGGTGAGCTGAGGGTAACCCTTTGCTCTTTGACACTGAAACCAAGATCAATTCTGGAATCTTCCTACAAGGAACAGAAGTCTGGGTTTTCTGTTAAAGATGTGGATTCAAATGCCAGCCCCTACCATTGTGGTCTTGGGACTATGATGAGGAGCTTCCCCTTTCTGAACGTCACCTTGTACTTTCAAGCAGAGAAAGTAACCGTGGTGACCTCCTGCCTGGCACACAGCCAAGACTCAAGGTGGGCTAGTCCCAGGCTTTTCTGCTCAAGGTAAGACGGAGAGAGGCAACTAACCTGTGGTCCCATTGACATCGGTGGCTGTGAGCTGAATTCTGGAATATTTATCTCCTGACTCTGTCACCCAGACGTATAATTTGAAAACAGAAACTCACAGCCATCGATTCAATTGTGCTCAAAGTAACCCCGGAGGACAGGGTGGAGCTGTCAGTCTGGGCTTCTGAGATTGCAACTCTTTAGAGGAGCAGAAAGCCTCCTCAGTGAGGCATGTACCTTAGTGGGGAAGGAAGCATAAAGAGAATCCTGCCGCCGCCTCCCTGCCAGGCTGGTGGAAAACAGAAAGTGAGAGCCTGTTGGGGCAGGAGGGCAGGAAGGACTGGCTCTAAGAAAGCCTGCACAAAACTGGGTGAAAGCAGATCCCGTGTCTTGGGGACTTACTGGGGGTCCTTGGGTTCCTGGTGGCCCAGCAGCTCCCGTGGTGCCATCTGCTCCCTAGGGGAGACAAAGCAGGACGTTATCAGCCAAGAGAAGTCACCGGCAACCTCTGCCTGGTCCAAGAGGGCCACCTGTGGGGTGTGACCCTTTAACAGCTCGACAACCAGCTGAAATGATCGTGTGGTGCCTCGGGAGAAGAGCCTGCTGGTTTAGTCCCTTGAAGCCCCACGGAGGAGTTCTACAGTGCACACACGTGGCCACCATGAGTCAGAACTGACTTGAAGGCAAACTAACGACACAGACGCTCTCCTCTGTGGCCCCTGCCCACTGCCCAGATATGGACCTCTCAACTGGGCTCCTGTCTCCCCTCCAGGCTGGTCCATCTTCTCTGGGGGAAGCAGGAAGTAGGAAGAAGAGCAGCACTGTGTTGCTGCTGCTGCTGTTAGGTGCCGTCTGGTTGGTTCTGGGTCACAGCACAGTCCTGCTCAGTCCTATGACGCCTCATGGTGGTTCATATGTTGGAGCCCACTGCTGCAGCCACTGTGTTGATCCATCTGGTCAAGGTCTTCCTCATTAACTCTTCCCCGCTTCTTTACCAAGCACACTGCCCTCCTCCAGGGACTGGTCTCTCCTGACATCATGTCTGAAGTAAGACCAAGTCTTGCCATCCTTGCGAGGATTCTAGCTATCTTTCTTCCAAGACAGATTTATTTGTCTGTTGTACTGTGTGTTACTGTGATGCTGGAAGCTGTGTCGCCAGTATTTCAAATGCCAGAAGGGTCACCCCGAAGGAGCAGGTCTCTGCAGAGGTCCCTGACTTACAACAGACTACAAAGAAGGACTCTGCTGTCCACTGCTCAGGAATGAGCAGCATTTTAGGAAGCAGCAAAACATCAGTTGGTCTCCCTGCAACCAACCCCCCTTCCAACCAATGCCCGCCCCCTGTGTCTCTACCCATAGTGTGCACTTCCTGCTACATTTCAGGGAACATCTCTAGGCTGAAGGTAGGAAATCAACCCTCAGATACAACTTCAAGGGAGCAGAAGGTAACATTGAAACAAACAGCCGAGGCCCAGGCTTCCCTGGGTTGGCTCCAAGGGAAAACAGCGGGTCTAGTTCAAACCTAACAGAGCAACATTATGTCCACTCCAAAGGTGGATTCTTCGATATTGTTTGGACAGGAACTTCCAGCATCCTGGACTCCGGGGAATAACTGCATTGGAACAAAACGCCTTGCTTTACTTCAGCCTGGGGATAGGGTAAGAGTTTTATCTGGGAAAGGCTGCTAAGGTGGCTGCTAAGGTGGCAGAGAGTAAGTTCTGGAAGAGAAGTGTCTGGCCACTGATCCCTGTGTCCCTGGTAGCCTGGTTTAAAATAAGTACTCAGTGTGCACTGCATGAATGACAAGAGGGACCAGGGTCTCTTGCATTGCGTCCAGTCGCTGGATGCTGGGTCTGCACCAGCGCCGCCTCCACGCCCACCCCTGGAGTCCATGACCGGTCCAGGGCTGACCGTAAAACAACGGCTCCAAGATCATCCAGGGGGGAATGGAAAACAGTAATGCGATGGAGACACACATGCTGGCTTCTGATGACAATTGTTTCTGAGCCACCGATCCGTGGTCTGCCATGAGAATAACAAGGAAGGAGCCACGTCCTACACTTGTCACAGTTCTAAGTGATGGCACGTCCCCAAGAGACCAGGGCAGGGCTCTGTCTGCATCACAGACATGACATGCTAGCTTTGGAACAACTGGGGTTGGCGATGGGGACCAGTTTTTGACCCGGAATCATTTTCAGAGACCTTCAGCGGCAATTGCGCTGCACGGGGAATGTACAGCCACCACAACACGGAATTAGTCAAAAGGAACTTTTCAGGGCTGTGCTTGTTTGCTGTGAAATGAGTTTCCTCCCAAACGTCATTGCTAGTTTAACAGAAGTGCTTCTCCCCGAGGCCCATCCTACTCCCCTGGGTGTGGGGTGACCTTCCGCTGAGGGTCAAAAGCCGCGGAGCCAGTGGGGGCAGCAGCAACACGATTCAGAGCAATGTACACAAAGATGCAAATCTTGGACGAGCCGCAGCATTCGTGACTTCCTGGTGAGTGAGATTGTAGCAAACCCACTGAGCCCCTGCAGAAACAGTCCCTGACGCTCACTTGACAAGTTGGACAAGATGAAAAGTCCAGGCGAACAAGTCCACAAGGAAGTGAGCAGCCGAGGTCTGTGGGCTCGGGTGCCAGGGGGAAGGAAAAGCCAGGTGTCTGTCAACGATGGAAGGTAGGCTCTCGGGAAGGCGAGCAGGGTTTTAATACTGTTGTAGGTTACGGGTCTTTGTGGATGTTGCCCTAAAAGCCTGTGAAGAGCGCTATTCCAAGCTCTCACCTGGTTTCATGGCGAGTAGGGGGATGGGCTCAAAACCACTGGCTTCGTTCTGATTAACACACAGGGGCCACGTGCAGCCAAGAGTTGTTATAAAGGAGACAGGGCATGCTTTCTTTCCATCCACTTTAGCTTCACGGTCCAAGATGAACTCCCAGTAGGATTCCTTTCCCACTCTCTACTACGGTGCGTTGGACTCTGCTCTGTGGTCTTTTTGCCAGGATTGGTAGCCTCTGTCTGCAAGGATTGGGAGACCTGGGTGAATGGAGAAGCCATAAGAAACCCCAGGAGACAAGCCCCGGGCTGGACCAGGGCACTGATGAGCCCTACCCATTGCTATGACTACTCTATGTGGGTACCTGGACAGCTATTCGCTCCAAGTAAAGGAGCAAAGGACTAAGCCATGACTCACCCGGGCTGGAAGGAGAGACAATGCTGACAAGGACACCATCAATGCCAAGGCCACACCCGGCTGAAACAGCAGGGGCATCCTCTTATTTTCTGTGGCCGTTGAACATAGACAGAGGCATACACCAACTGGACAACCTCTGCATGGGCTGCTCAGTGCCTGGATTCACTGTTGGAATCATGCGATCACCGTCACTGTCACCGTCACTGCCACCATTCCTCCACGGTGAGTCTAACCAGACCATAGTCTGCCACGTGTCCCGTCAAACCTTTCAAGTTGCTCTCGTCACTGCCGCCCCGTAAGTGTAATGCCACTACGTCCATCCCGGCTCATGGTGACACCGAGCTTGGGACAACCGGGTCCTGTGCCACCCTCGCAGTTGTCGTGTTTGAGGCCACCTTGTCAATTTATCTTTTCCAGGGTCTTCCTCTTTTTCGCTGCCCCTCCACTTCCCAGAGCACAATATTCTTTTCCAGGGGCGGGTCTCTCCTGGTCCCCTATCCACAGTCTGTGGGACAAGCTTGCCGTCTTGGCTTCCAAGGAGCACTCCGGCTGTCCGCCTCCCAACAGATGCGTGTGTTCTTCTGGGTCGCCCTGCTCTCGTCCTCGCCAGCACCCACCCTCCAATGTGTGGGTTCCTCTTCACTCCTCCTGATTCAATGCCCGACTCTCACACGCCTACGGAGCGATGGAAACAACGTGGCTGGGCAGGTGCAGCTTAGTCCTCAAAGTGATACCCTTACCTTCCAGCACTTTTAAAGAGGTCTCGTGCATCCCATAGCTCGTTCCTGACAAAGAGCGCATGCTCAAGACAGCAGGTGTGAGCAGAGTGACTTGAAGAAAAGTCCAAGGTATGTTTTGGTTAAAAGTTGGAAGACTAACTCTGGGTAATAGCCAATGGTTATTTGGTAGTTATGCGGACAACAAGCAGCAATGGATAATAAATGAGGAAATAAATAAATAGCATAATATACAAATGCATGAGAAGTGACATATAACAAAACAAATAAATATCAAAGGCATGATAAACACTTGCTATGATAATTAATAAATCACTATAATAAATAAGGATAACTAGTCAGACAAGTAATAAGAATAATAACAATAATTGTTAAGATGGGAATAAGGAACACAAATCACTGGTATTTGTTGTTGTTCGTGCTGATGATCATAGTCAATCCAGAGAACCTGGTTCCCATGGCCTCTTGGAATCCCAATGCCTCTCACTGTGGGGAAGCTTCTGACAGGGGGGGAAGCTGCTTCTGCACGCTTTGCTTGACACCTCCCCTCTGTCATCAGCCCACGGCCCCTCACCCTCCAAGTTGGTTAAAATATCTAAAAGCCTGCCACGCTTGTTCTGACGGACTGGATATCTCTCAGAAAGAGAGGTGAGAATCCTGTGGGTGTCATTGTGTTTGGAAATAGGGTTTTCTTTGTCACGTGCTCATGAGTCCGTAGTGCTGGTGCCCCATCCCCCTGGATCTGGACTGAGGTCCAGGAAGAGCAGCATAGACCCAGGAGATCCCTGGCGCCTGCAGGTCATCCACAGTCCGGGAGCTGCACCAGGGCGAGCAAAGCTGGAGAAAAGGACCTTCCCGGAGTGGACCCAGGAAGAAAGCCTTCCCCCGGAACCAGCGCCCTAAAATTGGACTTGTAGCCTCTTCACTGTGAGAACACAAGGTCCAGTGGTTGAAGGTCACCCACGTGCGGCATTTTTGTCACGGCAGCTCTCTGAAAACTACGATGTCTGCCAACACCAGTGAGTCCCAACAGCCTTCTCCGTACCCAGCCCACCAAGATGACTCGTCTCTAGTCATGTGCCCGGGGACCTGCCCTCTGAAGGGTGTTCAGACTCCAGCCCACCTGCTGAAGAAGCGGTAGGTTCAGTGTGATGCCGGCACGGCCAGTAAGTATGGAACAGGGGTCACATGTCAAGGATTAGCAGGTTGGAATTAAATGTTGTTACTTACCGGTGGCCCGGGGGTCCCTGGGGGTCCCATGAAGCCTGGAATTCCAGGATGACCCTGGGAAACAGAAGGCAATGCTTACAAGGGACACATCAGAAGTGTTTGCTGTTGGTCAAATGTCAACATGAGAACAGCTGGATCAGAGCAGTCCAGACGACCTTGCAGCCATGGACCAGCAAGGTTGGGTGGGGAATACAAGAATCTCTTTTTAATATATTGCTGGTGCTTCAGTAAGTTGAGAGCATACCTGGAAAATCTATAAAAATGAATAGACCCTGAAAGTGGACCGATTTGTTTTAAAAAATAAATAAAAACCCCTGGGGTCCTGGTGGAGAGTGGGAGGGAGTGGTGAGGATGTATATGGATCTCTGTGGAGACCAGAGAGGTCCTAACAGCTGGAGGACTTGTGCTTCCTGTGCTGGGTGATGGGACACCAGGTCCCTTTTATGGACTCTCTGCTTTTCATCTAGGTTTGAAGTGTCCCACCACAAACCTGATACACGCCCTACTCCTGTCTGTCCCCAAGGGGAACTGTTGGATTGGCCACGTCCTGGCACTGGCACAACGATAACATTCTTGTTTGCAGACGGGGGATCTGGGCCCATGGCAGAATGCAGAGTGAGCCAAGCTAACGCATACGTTGCAGTGCAAATGTGTGTCAAACGGTTATAAAAACAAACACACCACAAAAAACCCACCCACCACCCAAATGAAATGGTTTCTCTCCCCTCCATCTCCAGACCCTGTCACTGGAAAACACAAGCAGGGGGCCAGGGGTGGGGGAGGGGAGGAAAGGCAGATGATAGTGGATACTGGTACCCCTTGGGCGGGAATGGTTCAGAATAATAGAGTAAGTTGTTTTTACCTGATCACCTTTCTGTCCAGCCTCACCATCTACGCCGTGCTCTCCTTTACTTCCCTGGGGGAGGAAACACACACACACACACACACACACACACACACACACACACACAAGAAGAAACTGTTTTACTAAGGGTACATTGCAAAAGAGCGTTTTCGTCATTCACTCACTCACTCATTGATTCTTTGGTAGTTTTCCTGCTGCCGCTAGGCATGGTGGTAGCCGGTGGACAGAAATGGCAGGTCTGGTGGAGGGGTTTGCCTGGGTGCTGAGCACTGCAGGGAATGGTGCCGGGAGGCAGGCCGGGCTCTGCTCACGGGGAGACTTGAATCGGGATTGACCTTTGGCCTCTAGAAAGGGATGGCCCTAGGTCCTGGAAGGCCCCGGCTGGAGAAGGGATGGTCAGTTGGGAGGAGAAGTGGCTGTGTAGGTGTGAGAGGGGGAGTAGGTGAGGCAGGGCCTCGGGGGCTGGCAGAAGAGGGCTGTGGTGAAGAAGAGGGCCAAGCTGGGTTGGGGGTCATGGGCAGCACGCACAGTGAGCTGAGCAGGAGACTGCTCCAGAGCTCCGGCTCCTCACTCTCTCCCTTACCACCTGTGGACCATGGGTGAGTCATTAGATCTGGGCTCATTGCTGCTCTATCTGTAAGCCCGGGAAGTTAATGATGCTACCCCATGACATGTCAGGAGACTGAAATCCAGCAATACATGGAAAACCCCGAATGAACACCTCAGGATACAATAAACACCCAGAAAGTTATAATTTGTATCCAAATTAATAAGAACCAGGAAGAGCATCTTATCATTTTGGATTTGAAACAGAGCTCTGCCATTTGCTAATGGTGTGTCCCCGGGCAAGGTGCGGTGATGCTCTGTTTCCTAACGTTTAACGTGGAGACAGTTGGCATCGTACCTAGGTCATAGGACTTTGTGATTTGATGACCTGACAGGGACAAAACTCTCATAGAAGTGACAGCCTGAGAATTAGTCTTCACTGAAGACTCGCTCCACCACCATCTTCATCCACGTTATCACGATCATCCATTTCCATCAACAGCATCACTCTCATTCACGGCATCATCTACATCAACAACACAAATGCCATCACAGTTGCCACCCCTACCACCATTAACATCATCACTGGATAAAGGGCACCACTGTTGTCCCATCATAATCAACGTCATCGTTGTCACCTTCATGGCCACCCTCCACTACCATCATCTTTCTTGTCATCCTCAAAACATTCAAGATGCACAACCCGCCAAAGTTACTTCTTACAGATGAACCCTGAAAGTGACAGGCAACATTTTCAACATCCTATCTGCCAACTATTTGGGTTCAGCATTTACTACGTCCAGAAATGTCTTTTCAGTGGAATGTGTTTAAACGGCAGCCTTGCAGCTCCTACAAAGGAATGGCCGGCGGTGGGGGAGTGCGGTAAAATAAGCCCTTGGCAGCGAGCCAGTCATGCTTCTGGTTCCAGGATGGCCAGTGTGTAGCTGTAAATATTTGAGCTAGTCATGTCTCCTGTGGGCTCTCCATTCATTCACCCAAGGATAGGATGTGATGCTACAGGTCAGCCTGAGGGAGGTTCCAGCAGCAGAGCCCCACGCCACGTGCACTGAAATGCCAAGCTCAGTCCAGGTCAGCTCCAGATGGTTCAGCTGCACCTGCAGCTCAGTGATGGCTACGCAACTCTCCATGGGACACCTGGGAGGGCGCAGGTGAGCGATACCTGCTGAGCTCCACCTCACATCACTCAGAGGGGCAAACCGAAGGGCAAAACCATCTACACCAACATTTTGACATGCAATGGCTTCCACTCTTTCTGAATCTCTGAAGCCAGCAGGCTGTCTGCTGGCCGCTTTGTGACCCACCGAAAAGAGCTGGCAGAATGCCCTGACATTTGGGACAATTGCCTGAAAGGTGAATGGTTGCCTTTCAAATTTCCAGTCCGTGGTCTGGGCTTAGGATGGTTGGCACCCTCATCTCCCAATGGAAATGTCAGAAGCTGTAGGACCTCCACTGCAGCCACCCCCACGCCTGACTCACTTCCCGCCCGAGAGATGGGCGGCATTGCCGGGCTGCCGCTCGGTGCCAGCACCACGTGGGAGTTTTCCCACACGCGATTCCACTGTGTGCCAACATCTGCCCTGACCCAGGGAGGAGCACCTACCTCGGTGTATCTCCGTCCACCAGGAAGACCCCCTTAGGGGGTGAGCAGAGTGATCACTGTGTCTAGATAAGGACCCCAAAGATCAGAGATCTGAGAGGTTCCGTCATTGCCCTGAGGTCACAACAAAAACCCCAGACCCACTGTCATAGAGTAGCTGCTGACTCACAGGCACAGGGTCAAGCTACCCCCTGGGATTCCGAGACTGTAACCCTTTACAGAAAGCCACGTCTTTCTCCCAAGGAGTGGCTGGTGGGTTCAAACTGCTGGTCTTGCAGTTAGCCCAACAGATAACCACTACATCACATCACATAGCTAGTAAAAATCAAGGTCGGCAGCCTAATCCAGACCTGTCCGTCTGAATACCAAGCAGCCAGGTACCGCTCCCTGCCTGGGTTCTAATCATGGCTGTTTCCCCAGACCAGGATGGCTTGTCCCACTTGCTTTTAATGTCAGAAGCAGTGGCTCTGGAGTCAGAAAGCCTGCTCATTCCTGTTGACCACACATGAGGCAGTTCTTTCTGCTCCCAGGATGCGACAGTCCACTAAGAGGTCCAGCACAGCCCATCTTCAGTCCCTAATACTTCTAAGCTGGCAGACAAGTGGACTGAGGTGATGGACCCATTTTAATTCTTCTGGAATATGGGTTTTTGGATTCATGGGGTTGGGGTGACCAGCCAGGCTGTTTGCCCTTAAGCCTTGAGCGGATAAGGAACTGCTTAGCTGAAACCGCCTTAGTCAAACAACCTCACAGTAGCTGTGGACAGTTTTGGCTTAGGTGTTGGGTTCTTCTGGATCAAGGCAGAACAGCTATGAGCAGCCAGCTATGAGATGCAGAAACCCAGGCTTTGACTAAACCCACTGTCATCAAGTGGATTCCCACTTGCAGCCACTCGATAGGACAGCACAGAACTGTCCTTGTGTTTCTGAGACTGTCACTCATTATGGGAGTACAACGCCTCATATTTCTCTTACTGAGTAGCTGCTGGTTTCAAACTTCCAATCTTGTGCTCCAATGTGTAACCACTAAGCCACCAGGGATATGATTCCATTTACATGACAGTCTCAGAAAGACAATGTCAAGGAGCCCCAATGGTGCAGTGGGTTATGGGAAGGACTGATAAATGCAAGGTGGGCAGTTCAAAGCCACCAGCTGAGGGAAAAGGATGAGGCGGCCTGCTCCTGTCACCACCTGCTGTTAGTATTATCACTGTGCTTATTGTTAGGTAGCATTTAGTCCGGTCCAACCCAGTGACGCTACATACCATGGACTGAAGCAACTGCCTGGTCCGGCACCATCCTCACAATTGTTCTTGTGTGTGAGCCTATTGTTACAGCCACAATGGCAATCCGTCCCATGGAGGGTCTTTCACGTTGGCAATGACCCTTGACTGTACCATGCATGGTGTCCTTCTCCAGGGAATGACCCTTGCCCTCCGCATCGCTAGGAGCATTCTGGCTATACTTGTTCAATCAATCTTATTAACAGTCTTCCTCCTGATTGCTGCCTCCCTACTTTACAAAGCATGAGGCCCTGCCCCTGGGACTGGTCTATCCTGATAACAGGTCCAAAGTCCGTGAGTCTCAGCCTCGCCATCCTTTCTTCTAAGGATCATCCTGCCCCTGTGTGGTCCTTCCACTTTGTCCCACCATGAAACCGATGGCAGTGAATTTTGTTGGGTTGGTTTTATTTGAGCCCACTGCCATATAGCCTATTCTGACTCACCGTGCACTTATCTAGGGTTTCCAAGGTGGTAAAATTGCCATGGGAACAGATAGCCTCATCTCTCTCCTTTGGAGTAGTTGGAGGGTTTGAACTGCTGACCTTGAGGGTAGCATCCAAGGTTTATCCAACATTATCACCAAGAAGAAGGGTTGGTTCAGTTGTGTGGCATTGGAGGGCAAGTAGAACCTGTCCACAGTCAGTGTTCATCGCCCGCTTTCCCACATCCCTCGTGGGAGTGCCTCCCCCACACGGTTGGGTTGATTTGATCCTGCCTGATTCAAATCGAGTCAACTCTCAACAGATATCGTCTGTTACACGCGCCTCTTGGTGTTTCTCTGAGCATCTAGCTTTCCAACAGAGGAGATGCAAAGCTCTCTGACAGGTTTAGAATCAATAGCAATTCTAACCTGGATGGGCTTTTCAATCTGCAGAACCCATGCCCCTAGGGCGATGGTTCTGATTGCCATCTTGAGCCTGCATCCTCTACTCAGATTAAAACCATCACCGCTCCCACGATCTCCGACCCAGACTCCCTGAAGCCCCATGTTGCGCAGTTTGAAAGCCCTGGAGTGGAGCTCTGTAATTAATGGTGGTGTGACCCTCCACAGGCCCAGCAAGGGGGCCCTCCCAAGCAGCTGGGCTTCTGAGAGATCAGTCTTGGAGAAGCCTCTTCCTTGCTGCTCATCATAACTGCAAACCACCCAGCCAAGCAGACCCTGTGGTGTGGTCAATGCAGGGAACCAGCACACACCCATGGCCTTTGGTCCCCAAAGGATGTGAGCAGCAGTCCTGAGAACTCTGGCCGGGGTGCATTTTCAGCTGACAAATTCCGCTTTGTTCCAGTGAAACCCTGCCTGATAAGTGAAGCCGGGCAGAGGGCACCCGGACCAGCCCTCCCTTGGGCTTGTTTGGAGAGTGGCATGAAACAAAGACAAGGAGAGAGAGGAGTCGACCTTCCAACCGGCTGTGAGCCCTCAAGGGGCACGTTTAACCTCTCTGTGACTCAGTTTCTCACCGGTGGGTGGAGACAAGAGGCATGACCCAAGGCAGGGTCAAGGTGAGCACTGCTCCCCTTGGGGACAGCCATGGATGTGGGCAGTAGTAGCCGTGCTACTAAGAATACAGCACTAGGGATTCCCTGGTGGTATAGTGGTTACAAGTT